ATCCGCGTTTGTCGATGTTTATGTACTTGCTAGAACTGAAAATCATAGTAGATAAAAAGTTTGATTTTAGCCTATCAAATCATATCGAAAAACCGCAGCTCTATTAAAGGGGTGCCATGGAGCTAGCCGATCCCTGGAATCTCAATGGAATCTTACCATGTATTTTTGGCCAAATTAGTTGGTACATGTTAGGCCTCAAGGTGGATGCGGATTATCCTGTTTGGTTCTGAACATCTCACTCTAGACACAACAGTAGTAGATGACGCTGTATGGTGATGGCATCGATAGGCAAGAGATATGGGACCAGATTCCACAGCATTGTTTTTCGCCGGCTGACCATTTTTGATATAGCATGACAATAAGATCTCGAGAAAGGACCGTGGCATCAAATGTCTACCAAACAAACTTCAATCAACTCTCGTCCCATGCATAAAGCTCCCTGTCGGGCACTGTACTAAACTGTTCTGTACTCTACCTCGAGTACCTCTGCTGAGACGCGTGATTCTAGTTGCCCTCGGTTGTAGGGCAGAATCTATTGCGAGCATATTCGGTCTGCAACTCAACGACCCTTTGACCGTGACATATACTTCGCACAACATCGAGCATCTCATTGTGCTAGACTTCACCTGCCAAACTTACAGGTGTGACATCCTGATCCTCGCTCGTAAATAGCTCACCCTCACAAATCGATTTGGCTCCAGAGCGTCGACTTACGGCAGCCCAGATCAGCGACTGGGCGTCGGCTGAGTCATTGTTATGTGCATCGGTGCCAATGGGGGAGAAAACCGTCAGTATTCGGTTCAGGCAACACGTAATGGCAATGTCTTAAGAGTCCAAGGGGACAATTGCTTTTGTACTTTTCATCAGTCTGTTTATCTCCCGCAGACGAGGCAGCATTTGCCCACGAAGGAGCCTGACTGTGGGATTAGAGTCCGCAGGCTGGTCTCCTATTGTTCACGTCAATGAGAACAGTTATTGGATGTTAAACTTCAGACTCTGAAACCAAACTCAGGGAACAAACATTTCCTACGGTATTCTTAGTGGTTGCAAAGGCTTCCGCTGTGGCCGAACGACCATCGATCTGAATTCGGTCCCAATGCAGGCGGCTGTGTGCGACACGTAAGAATCGACATCAATCTGTTGTCACAGAACTGCTCGTGGAATTTGTCAACCCAACACCAGCTGAGATGGCGGCGCTTATAGGATCCTGTGTCATCACTCCAGGAGTAGACTCGAGCCGTTAGCGTGGAGATAAAGAATTGTCCCGTCGATGTGAACCTAATTATTCCCAGAGGGAGCATGGCTGACGCTCACACCGTCCACGGATCCAGTTTGGCGGCTCAGATATTCGGTTTCCAGGTACATTATGTCAGAATCTCGGCCTATTTTAGCTTAATGCGCGCATTAGTGAAAATCTGCTGGCAGGCTGCTGTGCATCGATCGCTGCAGGATTAGTGACAAATGCACCCGCTGATCGTGGGGTCCACAGCAAATTCGAGGAAGTCAATGGGCGAATCCAGGAGCTCATGGTGGTGCTGCTGCTCCTGCTGGGGTGTGAGTACAGTGTATAAGAAGCGGGGCGTGGACTCGAGCGAGAGATATGCGGAGATCACTCGTTAGTGACTTAGAGTGTATCGGTGGTGAATCTGCAAGGAAATCGATCGGGAGAGAACGAGGGGAAGGCTTAGAACAACAGGATTTCTTGAGCGGTGCATGGCAGAAGTGCCTGATGACTTCCATGCTCGATCCATCCCAGACGCGAGCAAGCTGCTCGACACCGATGCATAAGTAGGGCTCGAATCTGCGGGAGCAGCCGAGCTGTTGGTGAAATACGGTCGAAACGAGCTCCAGGGCCAGAGAGGAATCATCCCGGCGGCGGCGGCGGCTCCTTGCAGCGTCTGGTCGACAACCAGCTCATGGTGTGGAGTGTGGTCCTCGGGGCGCTGCTGCCCATTCCCTTCGTCTACATCCCGACCGTGAACACTCGCATTTTCAAACAGGCTCCCATCACTAGGAAATGTGCAATCGTCGTCTCGAGCGTGCTCGCCTTCTTCGTCTTATCGGAAAGTTACAAGCTTCTGAAGAGGAAGCTCATGAAAACTCCGTATGTTTTGTAGCTACGTCGTCATAGGCATGGTCACGTAGCCGGCTAACTTTCGGCTATCGGCCGAAAATGCAATCCACCGAAATAAAGTTTTATGAGATAATTTCGGCCGAATCGGACAAATTATTCGGCTGAAATCGTAAACTCGGTCCGAGTTTTTGGTTCGTTTTCGGGTTCGAATAGCGGTGGCAATATTTATCTGTGACCCGATTAGCCAACGGCTAGCCGGATAACAAAAAATATTAGCCGGCTAGCCGAGCCTTGAGCGGCCCTACGTCGTGATTTACATATTAATCTCTGCTGCTTCGACTGCGCTGGAGTCCGAAGATAGTGTGATCGATTATGATGTAAAATCACCTCTGCGATGTTTTGACTGGATAGTGGTCGAGTGTGGTACTTGTTATGTGCTCTCTGAACGGTATTGTAGAAGGAGACTGCAGACGATGTGCATGCGGAAGTCCTTCGAAGTACTCGTGCTACCGTGTAATGAATTGCTGTACGAATTTTGTGGTTACAGTGAGTACTGTAGGAGGTGGCTAAAACTACGAGAAAGTGATTACAGTCAAAAGACTGAGGGGAAAGGGTATGTGCGTATGGCGTCAATTAACTCTTGTTGCTCAAGGGAAGAATAGACAGCAGTGTGTATATTTTGTAATTGATTGGCAGTATGCCAACAAACAATGATATATGCCACAATTCGCCAGTGTCTCAACGAACGCTGTATCTGCAAAGATCGGTTCGTTGCCATGACTGGGATTCGAAATCCATCGACATGTGAAATGTTAGTTACAGTCTACCCACATCCACATCCGGAAGTTTTCTTTTCCATGAGAGATCGCTTATACTTGCCTTACTGTCTTTAGAAAGTTATCTTGACAAAATTGAGTGCTTGTTACAATTCTGTCAACCAAAGTATATCCATATCAATTTGGATGTACTGTTTGATGGGAGAGTTCTTTAACTGGATGGATACAACACTGAGTTCATGCACAATCGATGGGCTTCATCCACGGCTATAAAAGATATTTGAGATCAAGCTATTTGTATGAGTGCGAGAGGCTGAAATTTCTCTGGTGCTGTACTCGGCAGCTCCTACTTTGTAAAGCTGTCTCTGTTATGCTTGTCGAGAAACGGACCCCCTGAAACCAAGCACCTGGGAAACCGTCAGATTGCAGGAAAATTGGGTGCATTCGACTTTGTACCATATATGTATCCAATATCACTCAGAGGAAGCATTGAATAGGAAATGTCGAGTTCTACATCCGTGTAGCAATGGAAAAGTCAAGTTGAGATGGAGCTCGGAAAGAAATTGTCTTTGGTATGAAAATGGTGATGAGTAAAAAGCCTCAGGGATCATCGCCATCTAGAAGTTAATGACTGGCACTACGTTTCGTATCAAAGCAGAGTCAGCGATGTACGAGCCATACGCTTCTCAAGAAAGCGAGATGTATGTTCTGTAGGGTAATAATTACCAAAGAGTCTTGGCTGATACTACCAATGCAACCCCCTCTCTTCTCAGCCAATTCACTACAACAGTGCTAGATCTGAATACCACTCTAACTTTTCTGGGTGTTTGATATCCTGGTTATGTGCGAGTGCATAAGAGGTTTCAGCTTGACTTCAAAGCATGAAGAGCAATTTTTTTTTAAACTCCTTGTTGAGGGATCAAGTATGTGAGGTGCAAATTTTTATAAAGATTTACCACATTCGGTTTGTGAGAACTAGAGATGAAGTGAAGCAAGGTGAAGATATACAGTTGACTAATAGCAAAATATTTATGTTTTGACAGGATGTGTTTAATACGTTCTGTTTGTTGCGTGTTAATTTAAATGACTTGTTGGCAATGACTATGCTCAAAGTGAATGCAATATCATCAACATATAAGCACTTGGATAGATTAAGATTATGAAATCTTATCCGTATTAAGATTACGTATATATTTTAACATAAAAAGTCAACAAGATTGTCTTTCAACTTTGGAATTCTTGTTATGTTTAGGAGATAACTCATCAATATGATGAATTATTATTTGAACATTAGAAGGCTACTTTGCCTCTAAAAGTAACTTGTTGTTTACTTCAATATGGTTTATCTTTGTTACAATAGAGAGACAATGATCATAACTTCAAGAACTTGAAGTGTTTTATAAAATTCAAAAAAACTCGTAATTTAAAGGTAAGAAACGTGAAATAAATTTTTTTGTTTAATTTAAAAAAAATTTTAATTTGATATCTTACCAAAAAGCCATAACAAAAACTAGATCAAAAGCTACAAATATGCATATTGAATTTTCGATTTTCAATATATTTCAAGATTACTATACTGTACATGAAAGAAAGAATCAGTCCTAAAGAATTTTCATATGATTAAAAATATTCTATGCAAAACTTGCACATTTGAAACGGATAATGACTTAAATTGATAATTTTTAAGAATTTTGTTATTATTTTATATGATTTTTAATCAAATTTTCGATCTTTTAAAAATACTTGCATTTCTCTAATATTTTAATCTATCTTGAACTTAATTCTGTTCATCTCATAAGCAAGAAAAATGTAGACTTCTTTTCATTTTTATGTTTCAATTTGATAATATTATTAAAAATAAAAGTAAGTTGAAAAATGAATGATAAAAATATATTCTGATAAATTATTAGTCCAAAATAATGAATAAAATAATCTGATTGATAATTCAGTTTTCAAGTTCTTTGAATTAAAAAAAAAATATAAATATTGATGAAAAATAAGATACATATTGCAAGAAAAGCTAGTTAAAGTTTTCACAAAAGAAAAGAGCAAAAATTTCATCATATGCTAATATACTTCATGATGATGTAAACTTGTATGACGTGAGAAAAAAAGCGTAATTGAAAGAAATTGGAGATGGTTAGAGATGTTAGAGTCGAACATTTGGTATGGTTCAAGATGGTCTGAAATTGAAGTCAACCATGTTAGAAATCAAGGTACTAAGGTTGTTCGTTAGGTATATTATTTTATTTTATTCTGGCATTAGGCTGTATGTTTGGTGATTTGAAGAGCATCCTGTTGCAAAAATTACAGACAATGTTGAGACATTTTATTAGGAAAGCAAAAATCTGCAGAAACTCATCGAAGCCAAGGATGTTGGAGGATCTGTTCCAATTCAGGAAGCCGAGCGCTCGGATCAGCGCGATGTTCGTAGGGCCCTATGAGGCCAAACAAATGGAGCGCATTGTCGTCAAATATGTCTGTCCTGGGCTCGGGGTCCGGTTCCGGATCGGTCCAGTCCGTAGGGTCTATATCTCTGCCACTCAACATGCAATGCAAAAGATTGCCCAATTGCTCGACGTCTCCGAATGGCGACGCATATCCATCACCGGCCTGACGTAATTCTTCCTCTGCGAACCAGCTGCGTGGATTGAAATTGTGGTATGTCCTGGTGGCCATGGTTTCATAATAAGCCGATATGCCGAAGTCTATGATCTTGATGTCTCGCATCCCAGCACTGGCAAAGAGGACATTGACCGATTTCAAATCATTATGCACGACTCCGTGCTGATGTATAAAGTGAACTGTGGTGGCCAGTTGTTTGAAGATTCTGGCTGCGGTGGCATTCGTGGCACCTGGAAAAAAGTCCTTCAAGGTTTGGGTCGAACATAATTCCGTGACGAGGTTGATGGTGTTTGGACCTATGAGAATGTCCTTTATTTGAAGAATGTGTTTGTGAGGAGGCAGTATTCTGTTTAATATTATTATTTCATGATACATCCGCTTCAGGTGGCGATCCAATCTTCCCTGTACGTCTCCGCCCTGAGTTGGATTTGCAAGAGCTTTTGGTTGCACTTTTAAAGCTAATCTGATCCTTGGATTCTCTCTCTGTTGAACTTCGTAGATTTTTCCATACGAACCCTGACCGAGTTCTCTGATTTGTGTGTAATAATTTGTAATTTCTGTGTCATCGCTTAGCTGCTTTAATAGAAGATAGGGCTGAATTTCGTTTCGACCCAGAGGTCCGGGATCATTACTTGGTTCCCGACGATCTTCCGGCGACTGGTTTGCACGAAAGTTTTACGAGTCAATTTCATCATTTTGACCCAAACATCAACAGTCGATGATGGGAAATTCCGAATCAGAAGATACTCGGCACGATATCGTGCTTTTGCGTTTCGCTCGCAATTACATTGAGATTCAGCATCATCATAAATGGCCACTTATCTACTATGCTGACGGCCTCAGACTGACATAGAATAAATCAGCACACGTCGTATTGCTTTCAGGGGCATTATTTTCTCTACGGCAGAGAAAATTGCGTCGTTATTAAAATTCGCCCGTTAATGAACTGACGGAAACCTCAAAACAAAGAAGTCCTCTGGAGAAATTACCTCTCGATTTCGGTGACGTGTCGGACTATCAGGACTATGTGGGCGATTGTCTCTTTCGGTTCGGTGATCTATCGGATATCTCCCGTCCGCCATTTATTACATTGAACTCCAGTTGATGTGACGTAACGTCAATGTTACAGACGACGCAATTGTTACAGTTTTACAATTTTTCTTTTGAATCATGTCAAAGGAGATTGAAACACGACCAAATAGGAAGTGAAAAAATGTGTTATTTATTGAAAAGATCAGAATGTGAATCAGAAAGCTAGAGATGGTGAACGGAAGGATTCTTGTAATCAAAGTATGAAGTTGAGTCTCTCATGATTTACGGACTACATCTCTAGAGAAGATGATTGAATAGCCACAAACCTTCACAATATTTGAAGTCATTGACATATACCAAGCTTAAACATGGACGTGGATCAACTTGTTTAGACCTCAGATAAACTCAATCTGGTCCGTAGATAGCCTGAAAAGATGTGTCTTTTCATGGTACAGACGGCATCAGGACCCTAATCACTTATTTCCTTCATGTTAGATCAAACGGTAAAACAGTATGTTGGACGGTTGCAAATTTTTTTTTCAAAGTTTAAGTCTGTTTACCAAAATTTCCAAACGGTACACTTCAAATGCATATGAAAAAAGATCAAAGTTGAAGAGATTGGTTATATATAACAATAAGAACAAGATGTAAAAGTCTTCAAGTCTTTGTCTTTCTTGAAGGATTTCTGATACGCTATTGATTACTTGAACTATTCTAGCTCAAAAATGAAAATTTTCATTTTTGAAAAGATTTGTAAATCCGAAGTTTTCGGATTTACAAATCTTCTTTTTTCATGCAAAAACAGAAGATGATACGAACGATGAAAATTTACTAATTTCTTCAACATAAAAAAAATTCTAGTTACAAAGTGAAAATTTATACCAGAAAATAGATTCTCTTATAAAGATGAAGTATATATTGCACTTTTGAAGGAGAGCAAGAGTTTAGACTAGAAATATAAGAATACTTGCAATGATCTTGCAGTCGGTATTTACGATTAAGAATGGTGAAGTAACCTTAAATTCCTAAAATGAACCTCCTGACTCTATATAAGGGAAAAATAAGACGAAAATGCCAACAAACTTTGTCAATGTTTTCCAAATACCAATTATGAAACCCTACTTTCTGTTCTTTTCATATAAACCAAGAAAGTATAATTATTTCAATTGAAACTCAACATCTTTTACTGGTATAATAAGAAAAATGATTATTTTTTCGATATTAATATGACGATATGTAAATAAAAACTGAATTTGTGTTCAAAATTTGATGCACTCAACGTCATTATATTGGTTCATTAAGTTAATCACAAGTACTACATTAGTATTCTTTGTGTAATAAGAATAAGATAAAAATAAAAAAATAAGGAATGAAGAATTTTCACTCATTATGAGTATCTTCTTACCGAAGTATACGATTCATTTAATAAATACCAGATGTACAGGTGAAATCTTGAGGTTATTTCTTTAAATTAAATTTATTAATAATGATGATCAATTCAAGAAAATATTTTTCTTTCATAAGCTACAATTCAATAAATTTTTTTATTTAGTTTTTTAGATGATTTTATAAGTTCATTTTTCGAAAATACGTATGTAGCATGTGAGATTTCAGCATATCTATAATGGTAAAAAGTACAACAGTTAAGTTAGAATACAATAAAATAAACCAAAACTCTTTTTCATTAAGGTCTTTTGCAATGATAGGAGTATTTGAAAAAAGAACATAAACTATAAATTTTATTTTTGTTACAGTACACACTTTTACTTTGTGATAGTAAATGGTTTATCATGATGTCTATGTCGTAGATATAAAAATACTTAAGAAATAAATTTTACAATATGCTTTGAATGATTTACTAATCTAGTGTAGTTTCAACCAAAATTTTCAGAAACCAAAACCCCTGGATTGTGAATTTAACGACTTAGTTGGATGAGGTATATCTTCTTTTATAAGAACATGCCCTTTTAATCAAATTTTAAACTGATCCATTAAGATCTCAATAGTTTTAGAGTTAAAAAAAATATGTGTATACATTTATGATTACTTATTCATACATATTCCTTTTAGGTCTATTTCACGTCATGTAAATAATGCATATCTTTTGGGTGATTTTGGCTAGTAGTTTCAAGTGACATGGAAAAATCTGCTACATTTTTAGTACATTCAGGAACGGTTTCTCAAAATTTGTTCAATTTCAGTGATATTTGAGCATCTACATTACATTCCTAGCGTTGTAATTACTTTGACAATAGTTTGTGAGATTCAACACAGCTGTAAATTTGCATTTGAATATCCAGATTATCATGCATAAATAATTATATTTATTTACATGAATGTGATTCTAGTGTTGGACGACATATGGTGAAAAATGGTTGCAACTATGCATTACCCGCTTTACCTGGAAGATTTTCCGCTGGCATCGGATCGGATGAAATCAGAGGACGAGATATCTACGAAGATGAGAGCAACAAATGATGTCGTTCAAGCAATCCAAGGATGCTGAAGAATCTCTCGAGTGCCCGGCACAGGAGTGACGGGCTCAAGACGCATATTATTGGTTAACCTAAGCGCGGACCGGGGCCCGGGGTTAGGAATTAACCATTTGGAAGGTCCAATCAGACTTAACAAATGAATGGCCTCACTGCTGAAGACCTGCGTTCTAACCTCGGGCAGGTCGTCCGTCTCATAGAAATCGTCCACACCGAGTTGGACCTCGGTGCCGGCCAACATGCTATAGAGAATATTGCCCAACTGTCTGATATCTGGCAATGTCTGCTTGTAAGGATCACCCGGTCTAAAATTGTGGCGATCGCTCCAATAATATCGGTCCGGATTAAAATTATTATAGGTCTTGGTGGCCAGGTCTCGGTAATACCTGGCTTTATTGAAGTCTATGATCTTGATGTCCCTCATGAGCGTCGTGTCGAACAGAACGTTCTGCGCTTTCAAATCGTAATGCACCACTCCATAGTCGTGCATGAATTGGACGGTTTCGACTAATTGCTTAAAGATGTTGCGCGCTCTGGTGTTGTTGGCAGTTGGGTAAAACTCTACCAAATCATTTGAGGCACATCGTTCGGTGACGATGAAGAATTTCTCTACACCTAGAAGGATATCGCGGAGCTCGACTATGTGCTTGTGAGGAGGAAGTACGTTGTTCAAGATTTGAATTTCATTCATCACACGTCCTTCAGCGTCCTCTTCGATCTCGTCCTCGTCCGAGTCCGGCACAAGCGATTGGACCTTCATTGCACATCGGATCCGTTTGTGTCTCACCAATCTAACGTCGAAAGTCCTCGCAAGGTCTTCTCCGCCCCTGCCCAATAATTGCAGGGTTGTATAGTGGTCATGGATTTCATTGTCGTTCGAAAGCTGCTTTATCATTAAGCGGGGCTTATTTCTATTTCGGCCCATGAGAGCTCCTCTGCTTGGTACACGCTGGAAGTTTCCAAATTCGTCATTTTTATCAGTATTACCTTTTTTGGCAGCTATTTGGCATTTATTTATTCTCCATTCGACAGACACTCTAAATTACTGAATGCCTGAGATGGACTCGTGAGCAGGAAAGCAAATGCGAGAACCACATGGCACAAAACTCAGATTTACAACTAGTCCATTTTCCATGATCTCCTCGATCATTTGGGCGATCGAACCAAACCTCTACAGATGATTCGTTCGACACTCGAGTCTGACATTTAAGGTATTCATTCTCATCGCTGCACTGACGATGGATCTAGGCGGCGAAGGTGGCGGGGCCAAACTCATCTAAGGATCTAAATTAAGAGTGAATGATTTTCCCATTTCCTCCCCCCTTATTTTCTTCAACAATGCCATAGGATTGAGTTACCTGGTCCGGATCACTTGCGTCCATATATCGTGGGGGTGATGGTGGTGATGGTGGGGGTGGTATTGGAAAGTGCGCCATTTTTTATTATAGTGTGTATATTCGAGCTCCATGCGATTGACAATTTTTATCGTTTAGTCATTTTGTTCAATTATTTATTCCATTTTATCGTCATCTTCTTAAAATAATTTTTTTATATATATGTATGAGAAATTCTTTTTACGCTGGCGTGTCACTCAACAATATGTCAATTCAGGCACCGATAAGAGCGATCATTTTCCGACAGATATTTGGACTTAGTCTAGAGAATGTGCCCGGACGAATGCCCTCAGACCAAGCCTCTATCTGTCGGAATTGAATGAGTCGATGAGAATTGAGGTGTCCGTTTCGGACTTCCTGACTATCGACGAAGATCCGATGTCCGAAAGGTCATAAGCCCGAAAAGACACCCGAAAAGGTGCTGCATGATCCATCGCATGGATCAGCAATCTCGACCGCCGATTGTTATGATCCTGACCCTAGATTTTGAAAATTTTACGGCCTCTCCAATCCACGCCGTAGATCTAAGACGAAGACCTGGAATATTACGCGATCTTGTGAAAAACGCCTTTTCTTATCTTTTCGCTTACTAATTGTACACCACGGTGAATAATATATCATGAATTATTTTAATTCGTACCATTTATTGATCGCATTGAGGTACAGTACTGTCATGATGTGTATGGTCGATCGCTGTGGGAATTCATCAACCTTGTATGATCACTGACTGGCAAACTTACATCAAAATCGTCCTCCTAAGCGAACGACGGATTTCATTCTGTCTCGTTGTTGAACCGGAAGCCGCAATTTCCCTGTGAGAAAATAGACTCGGCTGCATTTTGGAACAAATTGGAAGAATTGCCTCTCCATCCCTTTACAGGTTTCTCAAAAGATTTGATACGAGTGGTGCAGGATTGATTGAATTTTCGAGTATAGCGACCAGGATGAAGACATCAGGCGAGCGAGCATAAAATCTTCCAAAACTTGTAAGAAATCGTGAAAGGCTTGGATCAGGAGGGAACCTCAGGTACCTTCGCAATATGATATGGAGTAAATCTGGGCAGCGTCAGCCCTCGTCCAGTGTCGAAGGTTATTAAGAGTCTGCAAAGCCCACAGATGTAAATCGAAGCGCACTTGGCGGCGCACTTCGACAGAATTGAACCGAGCTGAAGCAGACATGCGTCAAGCCATGGATTTGATACCAAGACTGAATGATTTCTGCTATTCGCTTTGAAACTCTATAGCGGGCCGACTCCTGACCCAAGAACAGCAGTTCAGGAGCTGGTACGTAGTCACGAGACAAGAGAAAAGGGAACTGTGTAGAATAGAGTGTCCTAACCTTGCGCCCGGCGGAGATCTCCGTCTAAATGTACCACAAGAATTCAGGCTACAGCCATCAGAATTTTACTGACGGTGACCGCATGTCCGGTCGCTGCTCGCTCGCCTGCATGAATGGTACTTATAGTAACGTTCATGCAGCCGTCTTCTTAACTTTTACAACAGTACATGATGAAAATCCGATCGATGTAACCATTTGAATTGATGATTTTATGTCTTTCTCCTTAACTACGGGCGTCGTGCGAATCATCTGCAAGAATTTCAATCTACTTGAGTCCGGCTTTGAAGTGCAACAGGAGGATTTCGCTGCATGTTGAGTCAGCGATGAAAGTTGCCAAATTGATGGAGTTGAATCTTCTGTCTTTGACTACTGACTGACTGTCCTCTTCTATACTACACGACTCAAAGTTACCGCTCTAACAATCGAAATTCCAAATATTTGACTTTAACAATAGTCATAAACTGCAACTCTCCGCTCTGAAATTGTCAACCTGCCCGACAGGTTTAGAGAAAAGAGAACTAAAGCAGATAAACCTGAATACGTCGTTAGAGTCATGACATAATACTGACACAGACATGACTAATCCAGTGGTACTGAATTCTCAAGTGCTTCATAAGGACTGGCTTTTTGCAGCGCCCCGAAGGCTTCAAGCTTGCTTGTCCATGTGAGGACAGCTTTAGATGTCCATATGTCCAGAACCTGCAGAATCTCTTGAAAACCGGTTAGGAGTACTTTCAAAGTGAGCGTTGGTCTCAAGCTTGTCGCGTTTTGAGCTTCGAAAACGAGCTGGAGACTCACAGTCGTTATGGGCGATAAGGTCGATCAGTGATCATGGCAATGATCAACGATCGGCAGCTGGTTTGAAGATGATGGATGCTCAATGTTCAGGTCAGCCAACTGCTAGTCTCTATCTAGTCTTCTGTGTCATAGCACCTCATCAACTTAATTTGGAGATACCTTCTCAAGTATCAAGATTATCTGACGCTCACTGAATTTTCAAACAAAACTCGTCAACTTCGAAAGAGTGGGTCTCTTGGCACATCAAGGTTGTGAAAAACGGAAAAGTTGTTGTGCCCAAGACTGCAATTTTGTACAGCAAGCGGAGGGAGGGAGGGCTCGATGAGAGAAAGTAAGAACCTTGTCTAAAATAAATTTGTGAGCCAATGGCAGAGAAGACAGAATAGGTATAACCTAGAACACACCAAATACATTCCAGGTACTTTTCACATCTCTACAGCTCTCTCTTACTTCTGAGTTTATCGATGAACTCGACCAAGATGTGACCATATGCCCGAACAATACGCAAATGCTGCCGTGAGCAGAGTTTACGAAAGGAAGATGATGCATTTTCTGAAGCATCTAGTCTTCACGTGCACAGCTTGTTCATCTCGTCGTACACAATTGCGGATAGATGATTTTTACATGTCCGATCGAACTATCCAGCTTTACCATCGATTTCTTTAATGGTTCGGCTCATGTTTCTGGACCGCTGAGAATCTTATGAACCTGGAGCGCACATATCCACATACGCACTAATGACTCAAAGCTATTACATCATAAGGAGAGGCTCACCAGAGGGTCTCTGTGAACTAGTTCAGCACGGCCTGGTTGCCACAAGCGCAAGAGCGGATCGAGGTCTGTATTGCCACATTGTTCCTCGGGAATGCTGTATTCCTGCTTGTTTGCATTTCAAAATGCCTCGCTTTCAAGAAAGACGCCAGTTCCGCACTGGCACATTCCATCGATACACCTCTCGAAAGTGCATGACGTTCCTGATGATTCAGGCTACGAGAACTTGGCGTGCGATGGGTTGATGATGCCGCAGTCCGGCCATCGAATTAATAGGGCACTATACGTCACCCTGACTCCGAAAATAATCGAGAATGTTAGAATCGAGACATTCACCAAGTTATCAGAACGATTAAGAAAACGCACACCAACAATCCCGCAGTGGCAGTTCTCCGTGCCCACCAAGTAAAGCTAACTTCGATGTATCCGTCCATCATCTTCTCTCCCCAAATTGCAACGAGAAACAAACAGTCGGAATGAGACACAAGCTTCGTGATATATGCGCACGAAGACACTGCACCAGTAACGATGGCCGAGGGCCAGAATTTTGCTCGAACCGGACGAGAGCCATATAAATTCAAACACCACATACATATACATATGTATTATTTCTTTTATCTCATAATATCATTAAGAATAAATTTATCAATTTATGAAAAAGCGTAATAAAGGATAAAGATAATTATTTGAATCTAAACTACTAATCATCTATAAATCGGCACCTCCAATGGGAAGGTAGCCTTCACTACCACAACTTTGAGACATATGAATGAACACAAAGTCACTGAATGGCGAACTGTATCATATCTTACAGAATGCTACCACTGATGATGATACGTGTCACTGTAGTATACATTATTAACCTCATACTTGGTGCCACCGGAAATTGAATCGAGATAGTATAATGATAGAAATATAATGTTGGGGAGCTTATTCCATCAACCTACCGCATTCCCGAGGAAGTCTCCGTCCACTGGACAACAAGTGGAATCTTATTTCCAGATCTGTACTCAACTCTCCCTATTTCCGATGAATGTCGTCCCCTGAGGTTTTATTCTGTCGATGGTGTCTCGAAGCAAGGTAGGGACCGGACCAAAATCGCGAGTCCGTCACCATGGATAAACTTTGCAGCGATCTCTATGATGGGAAATCACACCACCCTAGTTTGCAGTCAGAACCTCTTGCTGGAAACTAACAGATTCGACCTTCGTGCACTCCCCAGCACCCTCGGAACACAATTGGAGCAGAGAAGTTTCGTTGCTCAAAGATGGATGGTGTCAATGAAGAGGAGCTCAATGAGCGGTTGTCCGGGGCTTGCAGTTCGATTTGGGGAGTGGTCTCTTGGATTCAAGCTTATGCGTTGCGATTGCCAGGAGGCCAAGAAATTTCATGTCGTCCCGGCTTTGAGAGAAGGAGCGGGGTTTATGCTACCGAACTCTTCGTCCAGATTATTGTGTTGGAAATTTCAATGGACACAGCGGTTCTTGGAGCAAGGAACTTCTGTGGCCATTGAAACGGTGGATTTAGGGTAATTAAGATGTCTTGGAAGTAATAGCCTTTCATGAGTTTCGCTTTCTCCGATGAATATTCCACTTGTTTCATCTCAATGTGGAAAAGGATGAGAAGATGTTTTTGTTGCTTCACGGGGTGTTTATGATTCGACTAGCCGTCGCCGAAGATTGAGATTTAAGGGAAGGAATTCTGGTTCTCCAACCAGCTAAGCTTGCATAACAATCTCCGTAGAAGACTTGCCCCAGCTCAATGCATTACAAACCTGGATTCTCCTGGGGCGTGTCTGCAATCCATGCACATCCATCACTTTTGGGGAAGGTAATTGGTTTCATGATTCTGTCTAATTGTCAGACAAAGTTTCTATCCTCAAATGAGGTTCAGCAATTTTGACAAAATGGCGACAACTGTGAAGTGTATGTACGGTTCACTTTTATTTGGAAAGTCATCCCTGCGTTATCCAGAAACTAACTGAAAAATTCAACCACAATAGCAGATGGTGTTTTATGTGCCATTTTGAGTGTATGATTACTAGATCATTCCTTGCTACTGAACTGTTTTGATTGCATATCACCAACATAATATGTAATCTACCTGTTCTGTTGACAGGAGAGATGCCCTTCGTTCAAAGCTTTCAAGAACCTAAGTGCAAGATTTAGCTGCACCCGGTTGATTCCCTTCACCCCACAGTGAGACCTCTACACCAATACAATGATCTGCTATGTCCTCTATATAAGCTAACAAAGAGTCGAATGCGTCGGACTATCTGTGAAAAGTTGGAGACTTTGTATGCACGGTTCTCTATGACGCAGAAGTTTCATCGGAAATATTGTAGGGTAAAAGCATGAAGTGTTTCTCATGCTTCGAAAAGAGCTTCATACTAACATCTTCTCTCCTTCACCTCTCGCAAAATCGAGGGCATTCCTCTTTTCCGTCTCT